AGATTCAAATTGCAATCAAGCTGCGTGGGCAGCATAACATTTCGGGGAGCAGCATATATATACAATGTATATATACAATCAACAGTACTAATTTCAGTGTGTAGAAGGACGTATGCAGGAACCGATATGAGAATTGTTTCAGACCATTAAGGTTATATGGTACAAAATCAGTTAAAGAAAAAAAGCGATATTTGTAATTATTACTTAGAAAATGTGGCTTTGCCATGGATGTGTTGGGACAGCGAACAGTGTTTCAGATACAAATCTGAAGTATTTTACCGCACTTAGAGTGCTACATCAGATTTTATTGCGAGATAGATATTGCTAACTATGGAAATATAATTACTGCAAATAAATAACAGTTTGATTTAAATGATAGATATTAAACATAATTTAAAAATCCTTTAAAAATTGAAGTACTGATTTACTGTTAAATTTATGACTGGTATATGAAATTGGATTTCTTGGATAATGTGTTTCGCAAAGAACGAAAATTTATTTCCGATGTAAAGGAATATTTAGACGGTTTGAAAAACTCATAAATTCTGACATTAGAAGATCCGAATTTTCTGTAAAAGTAGTTTATATAACTCTTTAAATGTTACTCAGATGAACCTTCAGTAAAACGTACTAAAAATATTTTCTTGTGACTAAAAAATATTGTAGATATTTTTATAAAAAAACGAAATCTCTATCTTGAAGCCAGATAGAAAGACTTTCCCCTGGTATCAGATAAAATGCTGTAAAAATACATCTTACCAAATTTCAATCACTGAGGATGGAACGCAACCCGTAAAAAAGGATTAAAAGAGTGAAAAAGCCACATCGTAATTTCTCCTTTTGCTACTTTATGTGAAAACGTTTTTCAATAAGGACGTTGATAAAAGGTGAGTAAAGAATTTTCATGAGGGTAGAATTAATACTTACATCGGCATGATCATTTTTCTTTTAATAGTACTATGTTTCACATCTTCCATTCAAACCACAAATGCAGGAGTAACTGAACTACTGTTAAAGAGCAGTCATTTTACCCTCAGATGCGTTTTAATCTAAGTAGCGTTAAAAGTTATTATATGTTGATTCCATGTTATCACACAAAATTAACATCAAAATCACAAATTACTTATTGTCACATTAAAATGTTTTACATTAAAAAAAGAGTTATAATCGCTGTAATAGGTTGAGATGCTTGGAAAAATTGAAGCAAGAGAACTGTTTCGTTAAATGCATATTCACGGTGATTTAGCTGTGTTCGATACAGCTCCTAAACATTCGTTAAGATTAGGTTAAGTTAACTGATTAAGGGAAAGCAACTTCATGGCTATCTGCCTGACAGGAGTGAGGCCTTCATTGAAGATCCTTTTAAAAGAAAATGGCTCGCATCTACCTTATACATGGAGTAAACCACGAAAACTCCAATGACTGTTCGCTGGGATTCGATCCAAGTAGAAGTGCCAAGGAATGAATATAGTCTATAAGAAATAACAGTAAAGTTAAGTTTCTGACTTATAATGAAATTTAATTCTATATGTAAGAACAAATAGCACGATCAAAAACGATGAGAGGCTATACGTGGGGTTTAACCCGCGAAAACTTAACCGTTAAAGGACCCAGTCTCCAAATCCTGGTGGTGACAATTTATCATCCACAACCTTTTAGTTCGAGCACCATTTGTAAAGTGTTCAGGATTTTTTATGCTTGAGATGTGAAAAAAAGAGCAATGCCCTCGCCGGGACTGGAACCCTGGATCTTTCCAATACGCGTCGAGTTTGCTTCCAATTATACAATGAAGGCATGCAAAAATGAGGGAGAAAATACCTTATAAGTTTTAACCATGGATATTCGAAGCCAGAAAAAGCTGTACATTCAATAGTATTTGCTAAAGATTTGTGAATATGTAGCTGTTATATTATTCAAAGCCAATATTTTTTTACTTTAGAAAATATCTTGCCCATACTCATGTGAGAAGTGAAACTTAGTGTAATTTATTACTTCTGTATAATATAAATCTCTCTCTTAAATGCAACGAGCAGTTTAGAAAATAGGTTACATCATGATATTGTTGAAGACTATTGAGTGGAATATTTTTAAAGTGCTTCGTTTCCCTCGCAGCATTTAAGGCGAATTTGTAGCTGTATCTGTAGTTAAAAGTACGTGTAAAGTCTGCCAGTAAAGTAATTTTTTTGCAGGAATTTGGACTGTTTTTTTTTTCATTAAGTATAATACCTTTGATTTTATTTACAAATTATAAAGTTACCTCAGAGGAAATAGTTATAAAAAGTTAATTTAAAAACAGTAGATAATTTTTTGATTCAATATTAGTTTTCCCCAGCATTTCCATGAATTCCGGTATTAGTCAGTCGAACTTCAGTTGGGGGGAAATTTAAGGTATTATTTTCTGTTTGATTTATAAGTCGAAATCAGTCGGCAATAACAAAAAGAGTTAATTTGTACAAACACCGAGGGAATTTTAATTCTGTCGTACGATCTAAATTTAAGCGACAAGAAAAAAACTTTAACACAACATATCTAGGTTACTTTCCAATTCCTGAGACTGAAGTCCTTCTATACGCTTTCTTACAGTCTTTATTTGAATAAGCATTTATAAGAATTCCTATCTGAAAGGCAAGGACTTTGGAACGTCCCCAGTGAACTCGGTTCTCAAATTAGAAACTTACTCTCCCAAGCATGGCCAGATCCCTTTTCGATAGACTGCTTTTTGCCCTCCCCATTTCAATTAGCGGGTCACGTGACTTACCCCATTATGAGAGACTAAAGGGGAATTAAAGGCGCTCTTTATACGCTAGGAGTTTCTGAAACTAAATCAATCTGCAACAGATGTTGCCTCGTCTGCGGTAATGAGCGGAAATGTTTCTGCCAAGGAAGCGAAGCAAATCGTAAATTAAATCAAGTCCTAGAAAGAGGCAAATGTAACTACTTGGAGAAACGACAAGCATTCCGCCATAATTCGAGTGAAGCTATCGTAGAACAAGTCTCTAAACGAGTGTTGACATGGGATGATACGAAACAGTTTACCCTGTGAAACATGAACAGGTATCATGGTTGATTTTTTACTGTGCAATTTATTCTCAAGCGTTTATCCTCAGGTTTCGGTTACATGACTTATATTCTCAAATACATTTCCGCACTTTCTATTCCACTACCATTTAGTTTGAGAGAAGGTATAACTATTATGAGTGAAAAATTCTATTCAGCGGTTTTTGTTTTTTGACCTTTTTGACTGATCTCTGTTCTGAGCCCTCATTCCTTATGAGAATGCCCATTTGGCTCAAGCATATTCTTTAACTGACGACTGAGATTTTATAACTCAATTCTAATTTCCATAATATCATTTTGCTATACTTTAAAAATTAAATCATATAAGATTTAAAAATTAGCAAAATAATAAGTTTGTGTTTGGCGTACATTTTAGTCAAGACTATAGATTTCGAAGATAAACAAGTACAAGTTCCTATTTTTTGCATATTTCTTAGCTCCTGATGAAGAGGGACTTGTGCAATGTTTGCCCTCATCATCGATAAAGTCTTGTCTAAAATATTCACCAAACACAAGGCCGTTGCTTCGGTTTGTTATTGTTTTCAGATCGGTATGGCAGAAACTGTTTGGACTAGGACTAGAATTAATTTATTTAAACGAAATGTGAAGTTTTATCTGCTAAACATTTATCCAGGTGTGACTTATGAGCCTTCTGGAAATGGAATCCATGTATCTTGCATTTCTCCTCCTCCACCATCAACCTATTGAGAGGGCTTTCTTCCTGACAAATTTTAAGTGCTCTTACGATGCAAGTTTTTTACAATTATAAACATTCATGCCTTAACAGGGTTTTGAACCCGAATTTAAGAACTCGAACATCCGTCATTCTGAGGTATAAAAAGAAGGTAATGATAAAGTTTTAAAAATTATCTTCCTTGTTTATCTTAATCTGAGAGTACATAAACACTAATAGCAGAAAATGATGATAAAAATTAATAAAATCACTGATAGAACAAATGAAAATTAAGCTAATACAAGAAAAATAAATCCTATCCTACGAAGCAATGAAAACAATTCAGAAGAAAATTCAAAATAACTGAAAATTTCTCAACTCTTTTATTTTAAATCTCTAGAGTTATCAAATTTCGAACCCTGTAGAACAATTACTTGATTTTAAATATCAAAAATTCAAAATGCATTTCAATGATTACCCAGAATTTCCTGTCATATAAAACAACAATAGTAAAAAATAATGATTATATTTTTATAACAATCATAAAAAGTTTTATATCTTGCTTTCCATATTATAATTTAAAAACAGATTTTAAAGCAAAAACTTTTCCCATGCATCAACTGCAATGTTTCTTGGACTTTGTTTGGTATCTTATACTTGCTAATAAGATGCCATACTATTCTGTCTCTTATCATTAAGTATCTCTTATCATCAAAGATGAATAAAATAATATTAAGTATAAAATGTAAATAAATTATGATTAAATATCCAATAACCTAATTATAACCAAGGGATCAACCAATCAAATTTTTGTACCCATTCCAGACAGGAAAAAACAGTGTGGGATCCCACACTTTTTTGTTAGACTCCATTTGAGATAGGAGGAGCGAACTCGACAAAGCATCCCTTCTGGGACAACAAGTTTCTGGCCTAAATCCCTAGCCGGCCTTTCTCGAACCCAGGAAGGCAGACCTTTTCAACTAGACTATTTGAACTTTGTAATCAGATAACTCCCCGCCACGCAGGATCTGTTTGGAGGGATCTTAAGCAGGAACCCGGTCCGTGTATTTTATGCCTCAGTTGCAACAGATACTATCAGCGAACAGAATAAACAACTCCAAGAGGAGAGATAATTAAAGGGTGACTGACTGTCTAGCTTTCGCTGCAAAACTGTATTCTGTCGTTTGGAGTATCACATCCTATTTTCGTTTCTTAATGGCAAATTGTAATATTAGTGAAGTTTGATTAATTAGGGTTTTGAAAAACTTACCGAATCACCAATAAATTGATACTCGGAGAAAACCAACTCGGACTCTTTCTCATTTAATATAACGCCTACAGACTTCTCATTTTCTTCATCTGAAAAAAAAAATAGAAGAAATCAAAATTATTGTTATTGAAAAAAAATATTTTTCTATAACACAAACATAGACTTCTGATACCGAAAAATTATGAATTTATAGAACCTATAAAGCTAAAATACACAAAAATGTATAAAATATCGTTAAATAAAAGAAACTAAAAGCAACTGATGAAAAAAAATCAAAGATTACGTAAGAGCATTCATATTACATAATTAACAAACTATAGTTTAAAATAAATCAGTTAACAGTATTTTTTTTTACAATCGAAACCAATAGAAAATTATTACGTGAGAAAAGAAAACTGATACTTACTTTAGGTTTAAAAATATTTGAGCTTAACCATAAGTGTCAGCCTTGAAGTGAAATTTTTGAACATTACTGCCTAAAATTCTACCTTAAAATATTTTAACATTTAAATAAAATAGATTAATTAAAATTTTATTAATTTAACATTTAATAAAATTTTCAATTAAAAAATTAATACGCCTAAAACTTAAATTTTTCATTTTCTTGTATAACTTCACTTGCAATAAATATTTTCATTAAGCAGGAATATTTTTCTCTGAAGACAAAGAATCCGCTTTCTGAAAACAATCTCTTTAAACCTCTTCAAAGCATTTAAAACTACTCCAAAAACGTTTTGTTTAGCGTATGGAAAAAAAAAGGCAATCTTGTTATTTTTCTAAATTATGATCTAATTGTTTTAGTTTATTTCGCAGAATTAAAGCACATACAAAAACCCCTCCCATCATTATTATTTTTGATTTGCATATTATTTCATTTTAAATTAATTCCAAAATGACTCGACGACTATATTAGAGAGTGTTTCGAATTTTAATGCAATTGCTCGCCACAGGATAAGTTCGAAAAGGGATCTCGCATTCGGTAAATATTCGTAGATTTTGCAAATGTGACATAACATGAATTTTATTATTCACAGGAATTTTACCTACAATAATAAAGAAGTTTTTTATGGGATCTGAAATACATTAAATAATCAAATAATCGTACTTCCTATATGCAGGGTCGGTTAACTTAAAAATATGATACTTTAAAAATTTTTTGCTATATTTTGAAGTACGTGAAAGACTCTTCCAATGTAGCATGTGCCATTTACAAAACCTTCAGAGACATACATCAATCAGTACAATGAAACTAATTCAATAATATAATCTTACAATACGATAAGGAGAAAACTGAGCCTCATATTTAAGGGATAATTCACCAAACATGATGCATTTAATTTCTAAATTAAAACACTCTGATGATACTTTTTTTTAATTGGTAAAATGTGGCAGCAAGAAATGTGCTTTGATCACAAGAAATTACAAAAATTGTTTCAAATACAACATAAATCACTAGAAGAGGTAACTGGTTTCATTACTTTAATTTAATACAGTTTGAAAGAAGAGAAATAGTCAGAAAAATCGGATTCATTCTAAATATTTTTCAATTAATACTCCTTGTGTCTCCTACATCAATTAAATACTTGTTTATTCGGATTCGTTTCTCGACTTTGATGCATTCATTTTGTTTTTGTTTTACTAAGAGTAAGAAGACTACTAAGAAAACGAAAATATGAGCAAAGAAAAAGAAATCCAGTCTGTTATATTTGCCTTTAAGCAGATGAATTGCTTAATTATAGTTTTATTCAATAATAAAAAGAAAAGCTGATAGATTTCAGATTTTAAATTACAACCAAAGAGGCGTTATGTTAACGTTTTGTGCTTTACCTTTATTTATTAAATATCACGTTCTTCGCACTTAAACCATAAAATTCAGTTCAAGGGAAATATCACAAAATAATTTTAAATGGAACATACCTTTAGAATTTCCGATACACAGTCTCGTGCACAGGAGATAAAATGTTTTTCTGTACAAAGTTGCCATTGCTCGCTTTGAAATCCTCAGTTTGTTATTTAAAAATTCGCTTAAGTTTTAAAAAATATGAAATCGATAATAAAACAAATTCCAAATTTCAAATTTAGGCTTCCAGATGCTCGTATTCGCAGTGGGATTACATCATTCTAAATTGGATAGCTCTAGGTACCGTTGTTTTATCACAATGCGAGAAACATACATACATTTATGCAGATTCTTCGTTATTTAATTTCTACAAATTTAATACAGGGAGATAATATTTGGTGGTAACAGTTTGAAAAGTGAAACGGACATTCAAAGTGATATTCGACGCAAAATCACAAAACGAAAACAATAGTCCTTCAGGGACAAAGCCGTTTTTGACTAATAAACTTTAGTAAGATTCGTTTTAGGATTTCCGCTGTTTTTATCACCGTTCTTTTTGTGGGGAAAAATACTGTTTGCTCATATTATATTGCACAGCAATTTTGCAAATTTTTTAAGTTTCCTTTGTTTTTATAACTGGTGTTGCTGCAACCTTTTTACTTACCATTTTTCATTTTGCTTTTACATTTCAAAATGTTTCAGGTGTAGCTTGAGAGGCAGCTAATGCTTTACAACACTGGCTGATTCTCATTATAGTATTTCCTCAAATTAAACTTCCCAACCAATTTACTCATTTGGCTACAAAAACTTAAAACAAACATTAAATTCTATTACCAAAACAACCGTGAGTAGCCGAATGAATAAAAGCCCTGAAGTCTGGCAGTTTGTCTCGGGTTCAAATCGCTGTGAGTCTTGGCTATATAAGCATTTTCATGATTTTCTCATAATGTAATGAATACGAAGAGGTTCTTAGAAATATCCACTATGAAACATTTTTTTTTTGTAGACAGATATTCGTAAATATGCAGAAATTATTTTTTATCTTTCTTTTCCCGAAATGAATGTATATTGAAGCTAAAATTCTTTACAGAAGCATATATATTTTAAGCAGTCTTCGTAAATAACTTCGTAAACGTCTGGGTGCCTGCCTTTTTTTCCTAATGTGCAACGCAAATCTAAGCCAGTTTCTCTTAGAAAGTCTTCTACGAAATTATCCCCTCAACAGGCAAAATGTTTTAATGGAATAAATTAAGTAACTGATCATTTTAAGTAGTCTCAAGCAGAATATGGCTAGTTAAAGGGTATGATAAGAATATGGCTATAATTAGATAGCCATAATGTTGTTTCTTATGGCTTTCTTATAGCTTATAGTTTATTAACGTCCTCATATTTTGCATGCTGCTGTCCTCATATTATGCATGACGTCCTCATATTATGCATGATGATGATGTGAACCTAATCATGCTTTATTCTTACTGGTGGCTACTGCACAATTTTGTATGCACTTGGTTATCTCATATTATGATATGTGTCAAAATGATAGCTACAAATTTGTTCAGTTCTTACTTTCTTATTGCATTTGTTACTCACGTTATTTCCTTCAATGCTTAACGACTCATTAATCCTACATTTGCGAGCTGTGGAAATCTTGCATTGCGTTCAAATAAAACGGGATAGCGTCCCACGTTACATCGCATATTCAATATCATCTGAGCAGTCTTTCAGAATACTGGATCGAACGAAGCGAGGACAACTATGCAGATGTTCTTCTCTGGCCTCCGAGAAGCCCTGATCTTACGACAGAGAAAATGTACCTTACGGTTTCAATACAGAGATTTTACTGCGGTCTCGCTTTGACGAATGTTGAACTCAATTCCATTTATTAAACTTTACAGAAAATGACACCACAAATTTCGGTACAAAGGAAGTTGGCAATTCTTATAAGTCGATCATTCATTGCTATTCTTGTTTCTAATGGTTTTTAGAAACAACGCCATCTTCCGAAAGTTATTCTTGCACTGAATATAAAATCACGTCTGTATTTATATATCTACAATTTTCCTGTTGCTCATTGTTTTTCTAATTCCTCAGTTAATGTGTAACCTATATTTGGCCAAATGATCTTTTTCTAGAAGTACCTTTGTAAAAGTATCACGATAGTGACCCTTTTAAAATCGCATTGCAGCGTATTTCATTATACTGTACTGCACTGTTCATTGCATTTTCATCATTTTAGATCATTGCATTGTTCCTCAATTTAAATCGAACTGCAGTGCGTTTCGTTTCATAATAAATCACTCTTCCATCATTGTGTAGTATCGGTTGATGTAGCATTTTTACGTACGTTTTGCGTACGCCTGTTATACTGACAGCACTGCAAAGTTTCCTCCTTTTTTCCTAAATTCGATCCACTGGCAGGGCATTCGAAGGCTGTAAGGTCACAAACAAGACGGATGTTCGGTCGGCAGCACAAAAAAATAGCACTTGTTTTTTTTAGACTTGCATTTCGTTTAATATAAAATGAATTAAAAATTGATGAGCAATCGTTCGTATTATTACAGATTTAATAAATGCATGTTTCAGCTGTAAATAATTATTTTCTAATTAACAGGAGAAAATATAATATTAATATAGCATCTTTGACTGAAATGGAATCCTCATTGACAAAGTAACATAACGTTTCGTACATTAAAAATTTTGTATGAAAACCAACCATAGACATCTACGAAAAACTGCAGCCTTGGTCAGCTTTAGCTAATACTTAACTCAGTATTTTAATTACGATCTATTCTTTGAACAACTTTACCTAATATTTTAGCTAGCCTTTAAAATAGTGCAGTTGGACCACCTTTCAATGATTTCGATAGAAATGAACTTAAATTAAACGCATGTGAGAATTTCAGAATAAATTAAGGACTTTAAAATATTCCATTAATATACTTCTCCCTAAAGCTTAGCCACAACAGCTGTAACCAAGAATTGCACACAGTTTGCATTATCCTGTTTATAATTCAACTCAATTTCTCCTTAGCATCGAGGCTTTCAACAGGTAACGATTCTAATAATTAACAACCAGAGCACTGATTGCAGTCCGTTTGCTGTTCAGATAGTTTATTGAAGTCACATTCCCTGAATTTGAAACTTTTATTAAGGAGATTAAATTTACGAATGTATTTTAATGCTTCAAGGAAGGAATAAGAATAGAATTAATTAGAAAGAGCAATTATCTTTCGATGGAAGACATGCGCTCCAACTACAATTGTATTTATTGCTAAAATTTAATTTTTTTTTTAGTTTGGTTTTAAATAGAAAGACTCAATGCAGTTCCTTTGACAGTAGATTATTTTTTTACCTAACTAGTGAAGATTCATAATAACGAACATTCAGCGTTATCGTTAAGGCGTTGAACATATAATGAATGTTTATTGATAGATAACTTTTCATAGCTTATTTACAAATATTTTTTATATATAGAACATTCAAAGTTTATGAATTGATAAAGAAATAGAACTCTTCAACTGTTACTGGATAAAATCAAATGGTCTTCTAGATTTTAACTATAATCTAGTTAGCATGTTATGTAAGTATCAGAAGCGCGACAACTCAACACAACTAACGGCATTGCAGTGAGACGAAGGATGGACGATGGAAGCGAAAGAGAAACAGTCATGTTTTCGACTAAGACGTATTAATAGATGGCGAAGCTGTTAGCTACTCAATTATAACTCTTTTTCCATTTGTAAATATTCATCACTGTATCTCCATCAATAACTGAATAAATACTTAGTCACCTAAATGTGTGTCGTCAGCATAAAAACCCCCTAGACGCCGAATCAAATAAAGAATATTTTGAATTCAGTTTTAATGAAGTGAAATTAAAGAATCTTTGAATTCAATTTTGATGAACTGAAACCATATTTTTACCATTAGAACGTATTGTGTTAAAACCAGAACTTTTGCTTTCGAAACCGAAACTCAATTTTCATTTTATTGTATTACGAAATAGTTAAGTTGTGACAATGTCAACTTTAAATGATATACCACATATAGCTAAATCCTTAAAATCAGCTTCTACGAAAGCAATTAAGCTACTACATAAATTTGTGGTTGGTCAAGAAGGCGACCGTGCAAATCACAAATGACTTCTTGAATTCACAGGACTAGATAGCTCTTTTCACACTGCCGAAGTTAAGGCACGTTTATTATATATTTTCACTTTGGCTGATCTAATTTCGATTCTTAATGTTCTGAATTTAGAATGTGCCATTTACGCTGATGAATGTTATACTACAATTGTGAAGGCTTTAACTAATTTCGATTTGCTATTAGAATTTGCTATTTCCGATTCTGATTCTGACCACGAATAAGAAAACCCAGAACAAAAATTAATTGCCTAAAATCAAACAGATTTTGAAACCACTACGCACTCAATTACATGTTCGAACTTGGCAGCTAGTCAAAACGCGCAGATTTCCAGCTCCGGTGTTTGTTTACATAAACATCGAATACATCATACGCTTGTCATGTCATCGATGGTAAATGAACAAGAATTCAGCATAACGTTTCGTGATTTATACGAATGCATTAAACCTTTTGATGGTTCTTCTGATAATTTAATTGAATCTTTTTTAAATGACATAGAAGAATTATTTGAACTGACTAGAATTACAAATGACGCTCACAAGATTATATTCAACAAAAAGTGCTTATTAGGCTCTGCTAAAACTTTTGTAAATTCTTTACATGGTGTCAAAACTTTTACTACGTTAAAACAATATTTGTTAGAAGAACGCTCCTCTAAACAGTGCAGATTTGCATAAACTGCTGTTTAAAAGACGTTTAAAGTCAAACGAATCATTATTCGATTATTTTATTGCTATGAGAGAAATTGGTTCTAGAGGTCAAATTGATATGTCTTCTATTTTTTGATTATGCGATAAATGGTATTACAGAAACCCCTAACAAAATTTTATTATTTGGTTGTAAAATTGTAAGTGAATTCAAAGATAAGTTAAAAATTTATGAGAAGCTTGTGTCTGCTTCCAAGCATGCTAAATTTTCTAGTGATCTGAAATTTAAACAAAATAATTCTCATCACTTAGAGAGCAAAATCTCTCAGAAGCCTACTCAACCTATAGTTTGCTACAATTGTGGGTCTAAAGGCCATAAAAGTTCTAATTGTTCTCATAAACAACCTAAATGTTTTTCATGCTATTCATTTGGCCATAAATTGTCTACTTGTACTCAGAAACCAAGTCATGCATCACCTCCATCGTCACAAAAATCAGAGACAATTCTCAATCAAGTTGTCGTACAGTCACACCCTCTACATTCTATGATGATTCACATCAATATTTCTGACGTCATCATTCCAGCATTGATTGACACTGGCAGTCAAGCTACTATAATTAACACATCAACATATCAAAAAATTGGTTCTACAGTTCTTCAAAAATCTTCTATAACATTATCAGGACTTGGTGATCGCATTATACACCCAGTAGGATATCTCACAGGTTGTTTCGAAATTCAAAATACAAATTTTAAAGCTGACATTCATGTTATTGAAGATAATTTCTTATCTGTTGACGCAATTATTTGAAGTGATTGCATCCAGCAAGCTGAATTTTCTATTACAAAGCATAGTATTAAACTAAGAGAAGCGGAAACTCCT